CTATGGTTGCGCATTATATATCTGAGTCCAGTTCCAAGCAATTATGTTTTGTGCGTCTTTGCCATAGGACCTCTGGGCACAGGAGGTCACAGATTGCTTGAAGCCGCTGTTTTTAGAAAGAAATTTTTTCAGGTTTTCATGACGCTAGCGGAAGCGCAGGAGTTCTGTGATCAGGACGAAGTAGCAAGCTCCTCCGGACTGTTGTACGGCTTGATGTGGTTCTTCAAAAACCGGAAAGCTAGTTAGGTGCTGCTCATGGATGAGAAAGACGCTAAGTTATTCAATAGCGCTTCTATCATTTCATGATCCCGAAAAACTGTAATGGTAATCAAACTTGAGAAAGAGAGTTGAAAAGGAATAGCATTTCCATCCATTTGTTCAGTACGGATCAATAAAAATAACAGAAATTCTCGCTTTCTAGTGTTTTGTATTTTTTATGTGTTTTTTGCATCTATGCAGCGTAAAAACGCATAATGTCAAGGGGTTGACTGTGTGTGTCTCTGTGTTCATCTGTACCGACTTTTCATGTCCAGTCCAACAAAAGCTACAAGGCTGAAACTTTGGGAACTCAATTTACATGCATGTACGGGCCCCTATCCCCAGAACGGGCACTCATGCCCACGTGATTCCCTCGTACAGGCCATTTAAGTTTTTTGCGGGCAAGTTGCCGACTCGGGGACCTGAAAAGCTGGAATTTTAAGGAGTTTCGTTGTAAGTGGTTTTTTGGATGCTCTTCGAACGTAACTCGAATCTTCCAGCTGAAGCATAACATAATTCACGGCTTTTTTTCAGTTTAGAATTTTAGTGTAAGGACCAACATAGATCAAACTAAATGTCGTGCGATGCCGAACTTCCCAGAACGTTGCCGAATTTTCAAAAAAGTTCAGGCACAAATAACGCTGATTTCAAGACTGAATTGTGAACTGTGCAAAAAAACGCATCTTCGTACTGGCAGTCGGTGCGTTGGCCGATTAATTTTTCTACGAACTGAAGCATTTGTCTTAACCAACAGACGTTTTTCCAATTTCCTTAGCATGCTTCGCCGGTATGCATCACTCTTAGGTATATAAAATTGAAATATAGGATCTTGCGTTCTCTTCGAACAATGGCACTCTTTGCAGAATTCCAAGCACTGTATCTTGAAAGTTCCTTATTTCTCGACTCAGTCCGTCTGTGTTTACAGTTTAGGGATGAAACACAGACAGGACAACAGCTAATTGCACATACAGGCTCGCTTATCTGGGTTCTGAATTAGCATTCACTGCTTTTCCACAACTGACAATATTCGACTGTATCGGCTGGCCTACAGTGCCAAACAAACTTTCATAGTTTACATTTTTCAAAAAATTCCCAAAACACTTAGCTAAGCATTCCTCAAACAGTCTATTACTGGTGATGGTTTACAGTTTCAGTACCATCTGTTCTAAAGGACATGTGACGTTAACACATGAAATATTGTTGGAATTTGCAGTGTACACCTTCCTGGAGACTGCGAAGGGTGAATTGAAGTTAAGGGCTATCATATTTTAGAATTCTTTTCAGGGCTTTTTTGGCCCTTCCGGCTTATGTTTGGTATATTCTGGTGTTTTGGTACTCAGTTTAACATTTCTAGGCCTGCGTTTCGCTTCGCAACGATCAGTACTCTTCCGCTGTTTTCATAAGACTCCCCTTTTCTGCTTAATTTTGTACCAGTTCACTCAAGTTTTCTTTCTGCTTGGGTAGTTTTAGCGTCCACCTTCCCCTCCCTGCTTCCCTGCTTCACCCCTTGGTCGTATCGGTGCGCAATTCGGTTTACTGATCTCCGCAAATATTCTAAAATTTCTTTCCCATTCACTTCCAACTCAATAACAGTTACCTTGACATACTGCCAGAGCTGCATCTGGAGCCCGGCGTGTAAGAGTATCTCAGTAACATCACCAACATGGGATTCCCCGTACAGGTTCTGATTTTCTTGGTACTAGTCACTGTTTGTCAATGTCTGGCTTTTCTGCCTTATAAAATGGAAAATTACAGGTTTTTTTTTATTTGCTAACGCAATTTGAAAATAGGCGCACATCACACAATTGCATAACTTTCTTTTTTAAGTGTCAAAATTTCACTTATTCACTGAATGGAGGCAGCAGTATTGGCAGATAAGAATCCGGAAGCAACACAGAAAGGGACGGAGAGCAGCATGGATCCGAAAAAACAGTCGCTATACGCTACACAAATTAATAAAAATAAAAAAAAAAGAAAGGCACGGCACGGTGAAGAACAGCTTTACACAAAATAAGAAATTTGCATAGGAGTGTGACATCTCGTGGCTGCTGAGCTTCAACTGTTCATTGAAATTTTGGGATTTTTATTAAAATTTTTTAAAATGAGAAATTTACAAGCAGTACTCCTCATCAAAACTATACATTTGTTATACAAGGGGTGAACTGCAACAGCAGCCACGAGGGAAACGGGAAAGGGAAGAAAAGTAAACGAATATTTTTCACACACTTATCACAGATTATCTCGATGATGACTGTCACTGATGCATCTGTCGTACTTGTAAGGGGAAGCAGCAAAGCGAATACCAAGGT